CCACGCCCAGCAGGAACTCATTAACATAACAGGCCACACCCAACAGCAGAAACTCATTAGGATTGGCTACATTAGGGGGTGTGGCCTAACATGCAAAGGAGTTCCTGCTACAAAAAAGTCCTGGGTTTTGACAACAAACAAGGTAAACAGAATAACAAGCAAAAGGTGGGTGTGGCTGGATAACCACACTTCTGGTAACAGGGGGTGCGTCCTAATGTACTAATGAGCTATGCTGGCAGGGGTGTGGCCTAATATGCTAATGAGTTTCTGGTGTTGGGTGTGGCCTATTATGCTGATGAGTTCCTGCTGGGCTTTTTCTACAGAAAGAGCCCTGCCCAAACCCATTTCAGACAATTGTGTTTAGAACTAAGCTAGAAATCCAGAGTGATTCATACAGATTGTATAGGACACTGTGACCACAAGACAAATTGACACCATTTTACTAGGAGATTAAAAAATAAGGCCCAGGCTGATGGTGCAAAATCAAGTAAAAATATATTTTATTACTTAGTTAAATTTCCAAAAATTCCCTATGTGTTTCGCCACACGTTTTGCCAACAGGCTTCATCAGGGGAATCTGTTTGTCTTGCAGTAGTTCATCTTGCAGTAGACGAACAGATTCTCCTGACAAAGCCAGTTGGAATAACTGAGTTTTTATATTATTATTTTTTTTTACCTGATTTTGCACCATCATCCTTGGCCTTATTTTTTAATTTCCTGTGACTGGTGCAGCTCTTTATTTCTGTTGTACCATTTTATTAGCATATATTTGGGGAATTCTTTCTTAAAACTGACAGACACTATCCAGATTAATTTTCCACACTGGTCTTGTGATACCAAGCCCATTGCGAAGTACGCTATTTGAGTTTTTGTCATTATTTATTAATTAAAATATTTATACCCAGCCTTTCTTCTTGATTCATGGCAGCTACTGGGTAACAAGCATGCTCTTGGGAACAGCCAAATGGTGAAAGCTTATACACATTGCTCAACTGCCAGGGAGCAACTGTAGAGAAATGGGCAGTGAGAACATGTACTGGAGAATGTGTAAAAGGGGGAGGTTAGTCATGGCTGATTCTTGCTGGATTGGGTCCAATCATATTGCAGTACATTCAGTTCTAACAGTTGGGAAGATGCAGCATTGATATGGGAATATCCTACATGATCCTACCTTACGATACAATACTAAACAGAGTTGCACACTTCAAAACCCATTGATTTCAGTGTGCTTAGAAGGATGTAACTGTGCTTTGGACTGTACTGTTAGATGCTCGCACTACAGTGTGGAACCATGCCACACGTGGACAACATCCAACTCCATTCTTTGGTTATATAGCAAGAAGGTTCTGTTTGTGATGGCTGGTTTACTTTGGAAGAGTTGCCGATGTTATATAGAATATGCTTTAAACTGAGCCTTTAAAAGGGTTTTGTGCAGACTGAAGCAGTTCTGTTAGTGTAACCTCACATTAGCTTCCTTTTTTACCTTAGGCTTTCAAAGCAAGAGCATGCAACATTCCCACCATTAAGAAATTCCTGCAGCCTGGGAGCCCAAGGAAACCACCCCCCGATGAGGCATATGTAGCCACTGTGAAGAAGATTCTCAGCCTTGGCTAAGAATTGCATCAAGCATCAAGAACGCCTGTCAGTGTGCCTGGAAATGCTAAAAATCAGAAGGCAGTTAAATGAAATGATCACCTGCATAGTTAAAAGCAATACATGAGAATGAAGAATGTTGAGCAACTGTTGTTTCTTAGAGTGTAGCTTGCTTTACAGGGTGTTCAATTATTTCAATTAAAGTGTTCAATATAAAGAGAATGTTTTACCCATTCTGGAAAATATCAAATATATTTTTTCTGCTATATCTCATATGAAGTGGGAATTATTTCGAATCCAAAAACACATTTGTATGTTTGCCTTTGGATGCATGGCTGAATACTATTGACTGACCCAACATACCACCAATGAGCACACAAAAGCTGGTGTTGATGTGGCAAGGAGGTCATACCCCTAAAAGAGGCAAATTACACCACTGTCAAATTTGGGATGCAACAGTGTAATCCTAAACAGCATTACACCCAAATCCATTAGGTCAGAGGGGTGCAATTTTGTTCAGGGTTGCATTGAAAATTATATTTCTGAAAAGAAATATCTGATATATATAATTGCCCTAACACGTTGGCCATTTCCAGCTCTCCCATTGGCTCTGCTTTGCAAAGCAGTTAGAGCTTCAGAGCAGGGTCTGCCAGACCCAGGTTCTTGCTGTGGAAGTTGAGTGGGTGATTTCGGACCAGTCACACACTCTCAATCTAAGCTACCTCAGAGAGTTGTTGTGCAGATCAAAAGGGGGAGAGGAGAATGATGTGAGCTGCTTTGGTCTCCACTGTGGAGAAAGACTGTACTTTTCCTCCTGGGGAACCATTGCTGCACATATCCAGGTGACGGGTGGAGAGCACTCAGAATTAAAACTGCTCTCCAGATGGCAGAGATCAGCTACCCCAGAAAAAACAGCTGCTTTGCAGGGTGTACTCTGTGTCATTATACCCTGCTGAGGTCCCTTCCCTCCTGCTTGGGTCCCCACTGTGGAGAAAGACTGTAGTTTTCCTAGGTAGATGCTGCGTGGGGGGGGGGAGATGGAAAGCTGAAGTCAGAGGGGCAGATAATGGTAGGTTGATGGTTGGCTGGGAAGGAGATAGGGTTGCCACCTCCAGGTTGTGAAATTCTTGGAGATTTGAGGGGTGGAGCCTGGAGAGGGTGGGGTTTGAGGAGGGGTGGGTCCTCAGAAAGGTACAATGCCATAGACTCTACCTTCCAAACCAGCAATTTTCTCCTGGGGAAATGCTGTTGCCAATCTTCAGGGGAGGACTGGAGAACACTCAGAATTAGAACTGCTCTTCAGATGGCAGAGATCAGTTCCCTTGGATAAAATGGTAAGCTCTGTGACATTATACCCTGCTGAGATCACCACAGCAAATTGACACTGAGTGCCCAAGGCCAGGTCACCTGCCCAGAGACTCTTTCTAGAGACAGTTGTATTTATTTCCATAACGGGTCTTATTCCAAGTTAAAACATAAAACAAGAAGACCAAAAAATAAAATTTTAGAAGTCAACCTTTCATATCACCTGCTGCCTGGTCCTTCTAACTAGAGATGCTGGGGCTTTCCACATGCCATGCAGATGCTCTGTCACTGAGCCACAGATTTTCTTTGAGAATATGAGATAATGTAGAATATTGCCTGGGTGGCTAGAAGATTCTGGCAGTATCTAGCAGCTGTGAAAACAATGCTATTACACATAGCATGATTACTATTAGAAGTCATGATGAACCTGCATTTGTGACTTTGGCCTTTGAGCAGAGAGAGTGTGGACCTGGAACATGGTGGTAGAAAGTGCCGTCAAGTCACTGCAGACTTATGGTCACCCTGTAGGGTTTTCAAGGCAAGAGATGTTCGGAGGTGGTTTGCCATTGGCTGCCTCCTTGTCTCTGGTATTTGTTGGAGGTCTCCCATCCAAATACTAGCCAGGGACAACCCTGCTTAGTGTTTCAAATCTATAAGATCTGGCTAGCCTGAGCCATCCAGGTCAGGGCTGAACCGGAACATACTACATGTAATCGAAACCTGTGTTTTGCCAAAGTCTCTCCCCCCCCCCTTTAACATGCATATCTGAATCACTCTGGCTGCTTCCACAAGGGACTGTGTGAACAATACCCACACCACAACAGCAGCAAGTAGGGCAGGAATGGGTGGGAACAGCATCTACATCCACTTTCCCCTACTGAGCTGCATAAAAGGCATGTGTTCTGTTGCTGAGATTATTAACAGGATTGTAGATTAACCCGGGCAGTCCCTATGAATTTACTCTAGATAGTTCTGGTTATCAGTTCAGAATGATTCCATAGTCCTCCTGGGCTACCATGAACTGGCAGAAAGTGCAGCTTCGCTCAGCAAATCTCTCAGAATACCTACCCTCTTGCCCAGTGTGCATTTTTTCATCATGTAAACTGGTGTCAGAACTGTCTATACAACACAACCATATGCAACAGCCTCATACTGATTTGGGACAGTTTGGCCACTATTGCTGCTCAGACTGGCAACTGTCCAAGATTTCATCCTTGTGGTCTGAGAGCCTTTGAAGCACCTTCTGCATGCAAAAAACTGAGCAATGGGTTGAATCCAGCCAGCTTTTTCACTCAGCCTTTCTCAGTTCCCCTCCTTACTACAGCCTCCATCCCATGTGGCTTCTGTACATGCAGGCCCTCCCATGATCACCGGCATAGCCTTGCTTTCAGATACAAAAGGGAACCCCCCTTCCTTCCTTTTCACCAGTGGGAAATCTGGTTGGACCCAACCCTTTGCTTTTCCCTCTAAAAGCCAGAACGGGCTGAACTGCTTCATCCTGAGTTACATCATTGTTCCATCAAGTCCAACTTTTGTCACTCTCCCTGGAAGAAGCTCTCCATTATGGCAGCCGGACATCTTTCCCAGTTGTATCAATTTAAATACTTTTAACTAGATATGCCAGGATGTGTTTCTGGGGTTGCCAACTTGTATAATGTGGATGTGTGTGAAAAGAGGGGGTGGAGATCAAATCCTGTTCTGCATGCTCTGACACAAAGCATTCAGCAATTGTCACAGGACCCATGTCACCTGTAAGCACAGGACTATTCAGGCAGTTGTAAGCTCACCATCCTGCTGGTGTATCAGTCACTTCTCCATCCTGCCTTTCCTCAGATACATAAATGCAGGAGTATGTATGAACAGATTAAAAACATTACCCCATATCTGCACTGTGTTATGTCATATTTGCACAAGAAAGCCTTTCCCTTTATGGATTAATCAATATGACAGCTGTACTGTAGGTGAAAAGTTATGTAAAGTCAGAGTAGACTCTCCCCCCCCCACCCCCGTTTGCACTGGAGAGTTTAATCTTCCTGACTGGCTGCCCTCATTTTATAAGGTGGAGCTCTACAGCTATATAAGTCTGAGGCGTTCCCATTCAACTTTTTGCCACAGAAGAACTTCTACGTATCCAGGAATTTCAGAGGTTAGTACTCCGGGTTAGAAAACATATTCAACAGTCCATAGCTGCTGACCTCATCCTTGAGAGAAGACAAGTGGTCGGGACCAAGCCCGAGGTCCCAGCTGAGATCCAGAGGGGATATTTCCCCCTCTCCCTTCCCTCCTGAATATTTCAGATGGGCAAAGTTATGTTTGAACAGGCACATGCTTACACAACTGTAAGCTTTTCCTCTTTCAACTACAGAGCCCAAGGCGGGGAAAGGTTCAGCAAGTTGGAGCTCTGAAAAGGCTATGTTTTTTAAAAAAACAACAACACAGAGACAATAATTTCTTGCTACCACCATCAAAGAGAAGCATGCCAGAAAGGTTGCACGGTGTTGCTTGCAGTGAGGTTCTTCACCTATATTGTCTTTTTACAAATGAGTTCTTCTGCTCTGAACAGGAACCCAAGAGTTTATAGCCATGGCCAGTAAACCCAGACTCCATTACTTCAAAGGAAGAGGCCGCATGGAGAGCATTCGGTGGTTATTGGCAGCAGCTGGGGTTGAGGTTTGTTTTTATTGCTTGGAAAACTTGTTTCTTTGTGCTATTTTTATTGCTTTGAGAACTGTTGAAGACAACAGCATTTATTCAGGAGCCTACCTGGTAGGCAGTGGCTGATCTGAGTGCAGACTGAAGAGGACAGTGTAAGCTTAGGGCTGGGGATGCTGGAATTGGGATCCCCATGTTGCCATGACGATTACTAGTAACCAAAGGACAGTCATTCTATTTCAGCCTAACCTGTCCCACAAAGTCCTTGCGGGATAAAATTGGGGAGGAGGCTTCGTATGCTTCTCTGAGCTCCCCAGAGAAAGGAAAGGATAAAAATGTGATAGTTTCTACACCTAAAGTTTGGACAGGGCAGAAGATAGTTCCCCTTTATGTTACACTAATGCTTTGAGGTGCAAACCATATCACACCTCAGTTTCAGATACAAAATTTCTTAAAGTAATATGAAATAACTGATGATGAGGGAAATGCTGTGGGATTTGTTTGCGTAAGATCCCCATGGTATCCATACACAGTCTCTAGGTCATTGTTGTGCTGGAGGGAACAGACTGAGCAATGTCTGTTCATACTGGTGCACACCAGGACTTCAGAGGGGGCAATACAGCTAGAAAGACAGGACAGCACTCTGTGTACCCTTCCCTTTGTCTGCTGGGGTTGCCATGTCCCCCCCTGGCCACTGGCAGGGGATGGGAGGGGTAGGATTTCCCAATCCAGATTGGGAAACTCCTGGAGATTTGGTGATGGAGCCTAGGGAGAACGGGGGGGGGCCCTCAGTGGGATACAATGCCATGGAGTCCACCCCCCAAAGAATCCGTTGTTTCCATGGGAACTGATCTCTGTTGTCTGGAGATGAGCAACTTTCCAGGAGCTTCCCAGGTCCCACTTGGAGGCTGGCATCCCTGTTGTCTGCTCTGCAGCTGTTTACCTGGATTGGTATTCTCAAGGAGTTTCCTTCCCTCTAGCTGACCTTCCTCTCTCCTTCTTCCCCCTTTCTTTTCTTTGTCCACCAGGAGGGCAAGATGTGCTCTCTGCAATCTCACTCCTTCCTAGTCTAGATAGGTAGCTAAAATGCTGATTCTTCTCTTTCCTATTCTGTACGGAGTTTCTTCAAAATAAAATACTTTTATTTCTTTTCTAAAGCAACACATTCCCAAGGAGCCTCTTCATTCCACTTACTGTGCAAATCTGTCAACATGTTGTGCATTGGATTGAATCTAATAAATGGCAAGTAGAGCGAAGGTTCCAGAAGAGACTGGTCAAAAATTCCCCCCTAGCAGATTTTTCCAGCAGGAAGACATTCCCCCCAGCAGATGTGTCTTCCTCCTGGAAGATAATCAGTGGTTTGTCTCCAACATCATACCTGATAACCCTCTTTCGAGATTTCCAAAAGTGATAATAAAAGAGGAAATGAATCAGGAACCTGCTACAAGTTTACTCAGAGGCTTCAGCAGTACTGAAATTGGAATTCCCTTACATTCATGAGATTCCTAGCATCTTTTGCCTCTTTTATTTTTCCAGTATGAAGAAGAATTCATTAAAGTAAAGGAAGACCTAGAAAAGTTAAAGAAAGGTGAGTAAAATAGATTAATGTTTTATATGTCTGTCTCTGTGTATACTAATACAGTATTCAGAATTGATATAATCTTAGGCTGCGATCATACGCACAATTAGACCTGCCATAGGCGCAAATGCTGGGCGGAATTAAAGGGCGCGATCAGACAATAACATCTAGGAAGCGCCCCGCAGCCATTGGCAACCTGTTCTGCTCCGCCACAGAAGCGGAGTTAAAAGACACGAGGGGAAATCTGGTACAAAACAGGTTGCAACAGGCCATGGATGGACTTTCCCCTGTCTGATCGCTCCAGTGCGCTCTCATGGCATTGGGATGGTCTGATCAGGCCATTCCGACTCTGTGCCATTGTTTTTCCCCCCTTCTCAGTATGCGCATCATCACAAACTCCATAGGGAGCCCTCAGTGCGGAGATGTGATTCATCAATTCCTCATTTAAGCGCATTGGAAACAAATGGCAAAAAAAATCCCTGACTCACCCGTGGTTGTGTCTGATCATGCAGTGGCAGGCTGTGGCCACAGCTTCCAAGGACTGTGTGATCATGCAACTGCGAGTCAAATTCCTCTGGAGGAAATAGCTTCCCTCCCCCCCCCCCCCCCCCGTTTTTTCTGGCGCATGTGACCACAGCCTTAGATTATGATACTTGGACATCAGAATTACACCAAAGCTCCTCTGTCAAATATAATGGTAAAGCTACCATAGAGCAGGATTGTAGACTGATTGGGTTCTTTGTACAGCACCATCTGAAGAGCAGGTGGGCCATTTTGAAAAGTTAAGGTCAAATGTCCTCAAAGTAGTCCTTTACTGGCATTGTTATGGGTAAGAATAGCTTTAAATCCAGTGTTGCCATGCAGTCCCCTGCCACCAAATTGTATGTTTAGAAGGAGATGAAAGTTTTTTTGCCCATTATTGCAGCAAATTAGTACCTATGGGCCATTTGGGGTCAGGAAATTGATGCAGGGAAAAAGCTGACACCCTTTCTTCCTGTGCTCCACAGTTCCGATCTGAATCAGTCCCCTGCACCTTGTGCTCAGAAATTGAGTTTTCAGCAGGGAATCTGATGCTGGCATGTGATTGATTAAAATTCAGATTGGGAGACACAACGTATTTTCTATCTGGCATGTGTAATGTGGCCCTTAAGGGTCAACAGTGCAGAGCAGACACAGCTTAAATAACTTAGGAATGGCATCATGGTCTGAATCCTCTATAAATGTTGATTGAAACCTCTGTAGTTTCAGGACAGTAACAATAGTTAAGGATCTTATCGCATCCTAATTGCATCCTAATAATCTGTTGAGTTATTTGGGGCTTTCAACAGATTTTTATGTAGATGTTCTTATCCAGGAAAGAGTCAGTGATGAATTTTAGCAGAATATCCATCTTAGGCAGTAGGCCAACCAGTCTTAATTTAAATTAGTTTATTTATCCAACCACTTGTTTTTCACTTTGGAAATAAACTTTTAAACAATGAGAAACACAATGCAGGAGTGAGACTTAAATTCCAGACATAAGATGTGCTCCTGAAATCCTGTCAGGGTATCAGGTAATTGAATTAATTCCTCATCTTCTGTTCTCAAGATGGATCCCTGCTGTTTCAGCAAGTGCCCATGGTGGAAATCGATGGCATGAAAATGGTGCAGTCCCGAGCGATCCTCAACTACATTGCAGCAAAACACAAACTCTGTGGGAAAGACCTCAAGGAGAATGCATTGTACTGTAACATTTCTAACATTATCTACTAAATTCATATTTCTCTTTACTATACATAAGGTCAGGCAAAATCTCTAGTTTGTGGCATGATCTGTTGCCAAGTTATGATCTGCATATTTCTACCCAGGGCCACTATCCACTGGGACAAAAAAAGTAAAAGGGCATTGTGGAGCGATATGAACTCATTTGACCTCTCAGTCATGACAGGCTTTTCCCTCAACAAACAGGGTAGCTGAACTCTTTTTCTGCAAGGACATCACCATAGCATATGTTCCTATCACACATGCACTCGTGTCACACTTTTCTGTTGGACAGTTCACATGGTATCATTGTAGAGTTCCAAAACATGTTTTGTTCTTTGTTTTCTGTAAACTAGACACACTGGGAGTTCTCTTTTCCAAGGTCTGTGGAGGTTTTTTTCCGTTGTAAATAGCACTGATTAGCACTGGAACAGTGATGCTTATATGCACATGGGGGAAGGTTTAACCTTACTCTTGGTACTAATTTCCTAAGTTGAACCTGAACCACGGAATTGTTACTTGTCCCACTGGGACAATCATAAGTCAAGCAGTATGTAGCCTGTCCCAACAGGATAAATACTCATTTCATGCCAAGAAAATTGTGTCTGTATGGGGGTATAGTTTTTTAAAACCCCTTTTCTGTGCTCCTACATGGCTGCTGTTAAAAGAAAGATGCTTAGGAGCTTTGAACATGAACCTTGCAGCATGTTTGTTTCATTTGAACCTTTGTCTTCATTCCTTTTTGTAATGGTTGCTATACAATCCAGTTCTGAAAGTTCCTGTGTTGTGTATATATTTGTTAGGTTACACACATATCGGCTACATACCTTCTTACCTTCAAAGCCCTATATGGTCAGGGACCTACTTACCTAAGGGGCCACCTTTCCCCACATGTTCCCCAGAGAGCACTAAGATCGGGGTTCCAAAACCGCCTAGCCCTCCCAGGCCCTAAAGAAGCCAGGCTAGCTGTGATGAGAGCCAGGGCCTTTTCTGTGGTGGCCCCTAACTGGTAGAATGAGCTCCCGGATGACATCAGGGTCCTGCAGGACCTTGTGCAGTTCTGCAGGGCCTGCAAAATGGAGCTCTTCCACCAGGCTTTCGTCTACTGCAGCCCTGGCTCCAAAATCAGTAACATCAATACCAAGTTAATAACCAACAGCCTGGCAGGAACATGGATTATGATGGTAGTGACCTTCTGGATGTTGAGAGGACGCCGTCATTGCCTATTAACAACTCTGTTTATTAGTATTAATGCTTATGTGCTGTGGTTGATTTTAAACTTTCTGTTTTAACAAATCTTGTAGTTTTAATACATACATACATACATACATACATACATACATACATACATACATACATACATACATACATACATACATACATACATACATACATACATACATACATACATACATACATACATACATACATACATACATACATACATACATACATACCTCTTTCCCATTATTTGGGAATGGGTATCACTTGCTGAAATTAGCAAGAATAAAACATTAATCTTGCCTCCACTATGAGTTTATTAGATAACCTTAGGCAATCCACTCTTTCTTCCCCCTTCTCTGCAATGTGGCCATAATAATGCTAACCTACCTGACCAGGTGATGTACATGTACCTAGATGCTTCATGTGAAGATGTTGTATGCGAAGGGCTTTGAACATTCAGAAGCGCTAAGTAATACATTTCAAGTATTATTATTTATCTGTAGTCAGATTGGTATACTTTAGTCAGAGGAAGGAATGCTTCCACTGTTAAAGAAATGTATTTAAAATGGGAAGTTAATGCTCACCAACTATCTGGTGTTATTTCTATAATCTCTTTTGTTCAGAATGGATATGTACATTGAAAGTATTATGGATCTGGGTGAAATGATCATGCACCTACCTTTCAAGCCAGCAGATGCAAAAGAAAAAGAGCTTGCACTGATCATCGAAAGGGCCACCACCAGATACTTTCCAGTCTTTGAAAAGGTATGAAGCTGCTTAGTTTACTACCATAGTTGGATGATGGGCTCATCTATGCTCCAGTGGGTTTGACAATTTCCTCTTCATGGTCCCTCATTTCAATTTCATGATTTCTTATATGTACAGCTTCTCAGATACAAAAAATTCACTTGTCCTTTGTAAAAGCCAGTTGAAATCCTCACTATGGCACATCAGAATTCCTTTCCTTAAACTAGGGTATCTGAAACTTCTGATAGCTGAGGCATATTGCTTTTTCTGAATTAAAACTGAAGGCACACTCCAATCTAAAAGCAAACCTTTTTGCTTGTGACAGTGTGTTTCTATACGAGATCCTGATCTGCATGTTCGCCAACTAGAACAAGGCAAGCATAGTGCAGTGACTCATACAGATACACAACAGACATCCTCCTCTGTGAGAAGACTGTCCTGCATCTTTCCATTGGTCAATTAGCTCATTCAATTACTCTCAATGCATTGATTCAGCATAATTATCCTTCTCCTAGAGGAAGCTGACTGGAAGGATATATGATACAAGAACAGTATCTTATGCAGAAGTTCAACCCGTAAGAGCACTGTTACAAATCCTTGCCATGAAATGGTACAAAGGGGGGGGGGGGGGGGCGGGGTTTTTTTTAAAGGGGTCCAAAAATGTCTTCTTGTGTCTGCTAATTACCTAGCATAATATGAGCCCCTTAACATATTTCCTGTTCTGTAGGCCCTCAAAGATCATGGTCAGGATTATCTTGTCGGAAACAGGTTCAGCAGAGCAGATGTTCAATTGCTTGAAGTTATTTTAATGGCAGAAGAGCTCAAGCCTGATGTTCTGTCAAAGTTCCCTCTTTTAAAGGTAAGCCCTTAATGACCCTTAACAACTGTGAAAGATGTGGAGAGGCCATTCCTTGATCAAATTCACCGGGCCCTGCTCAGGCTCTTCCAAGTGACCAAACAGCAACAGAGCTGAAATCAACAATGCACCGTGTCAGTGGTTATTTCAATCACCTTCAAGTAAAGCCACAAGAAGTTTGATGCGATGTTTAGATTCCCCAGTTATTCATGGTAAACATATACAAGTGTAGAGCCGATCCTGATTTATGCCTAATGGCAGACTGATCCTGGTAGGATTTTAAATTTGAATTGTTTCTGTAGGCGCTGTATATGGGGTATGTCTGTGGAGCAGAGGATCAACCCCTGTTCACTGTCCCTTACGATTTCATATGGGAGCAGCATCTCAGAGACGTGTAACTCACCTCCCCACAAGGGTTGCGCCATTAATTCAACAGAGGCCGTAGACACTGATAATGTTCTCTTCTGTGTGCCTACCTGCTGCTCCTATTTTAATGAATAAAAGACCATGCATAAAAAGAGCTCTGTATGTCCTGGATCAGGATAACTGTATGCACAAGGATCCGGTATTTGGAGCTTTTGTTCCTTGCAAGCCCTTTGCCTTCAGAGCCTCAGGCCCTCCAGTCACCTTCCGCAATTCACACACCATTACTGCTCTTCATTTACTGTGTGTCCTACTGTCAGTCCAGCTGCTACATTAAATTAATTTTAAGAATCTATCCTCACTTAGGAAATATTTGTATTTGTCCACCCTTCAAAGCAGCCATTTTCTCCAGGGAAACTGACCTCTGTCTGCTGGAGACCAGTTGTAAAAGCAGGAGATCTCCAGGCCCCACCTGGAAGCTGGCAACCCTAACTATAAGGAAATACTGTAAGAGTGTTAATGTTTTAAGTATGTTTTTATTTTGAGTAAAAATAGTACTGTTAATTGGGCTGGCATTACATTTTATGACACACATGGTTCAGCCCGACAAAGAGACGTTTATGTCAGATCCGGCCCTCATAATGAATGAGTTTGACACCTCCGTAACATGGATAGGTGATCCACCTTCACTAAATGGGCAAGCATTTAGGGAACAGACTGTAGACATGGTCAAAACATAATTATGAGCTTCAATGAGGGAGAAATGGTGACCTCAGCTTCCCGAGGACCATCCATGAAATAAATGGGATTTTAGGTTGATGCCAGATATTTTCACGCAAGACACTTAAGTTCTTCAGGTGACAACTCCAAAGAAATGGCACCTTTTCTTGCTGGAAAATGCTTCTTGTTCCAATATTCTCTCTCTCTCTCTCTAGACTTATAAAGAAAGAATAAGCAACATCCCTACAATCAAGAAATTCCTGCAGCCTGGTAGTGCGAGAAAACCACCAATAACTGAAAAAGAGCTTGCAGAAGCCATGAAGATATTCCACTGAATCAGGATCATGGCTAATGTAACTGCAAGCAACATGCTACAGTTGGGCCACTCTTCAAATAATTTCAAGAGGCCAACAATGTACGGGTGCCGCTTCCAGAGGAATGACAATGTGAAGTTTAACGTTCAACAAAACAGGACAATTTTTGCAGTAGAAATGGTGTCAATCACATGCCATTACACTCAAACACAATGAAACATTCTGTTGTGTTGGTACTTAGCTATGTGATTTGCTTGAATTGTGGGTAACATGTTTGAGCTGGCATAACCACATTGACAGACACTTCTTCCCAGTGGTAACTTGCATGAATTTGATGGGCAAAAAACAGATACCTATTAGCATGGTCAGAGTAAGTCATTGGCAGACCAAATCAAAGTCTTCCAGTGGACAGCTGACAGGCTCGGCAGAGGGCACAGATTTGGCTTTGCAGAGAGACCTAAGGGGCGGGCTGCTATCTGGAACCAGTTCTTATAATCAGAATGCCTGGGTATAACATACAGATACCAGACTGAAAGAGAAGAAAGCATCGTGGAGCACCTTAAATACACACACATATGTAAAAACACACACACATATACACAAATGTAGAGGGAAAAATTTGAAACACGGTGCCAAAAGTCCATGGAATACAAGAGCAGTCTTCTTGTTCTTGTACTTTGCATATTTTATAGGCTTTTAGCCCCACTTATGTGCTCTGTACCCATGTGTAGGTGTGTACATATAAATCTGTAAACTCAACATAAAAACCCATGCATCTGCGAAATGGAGCTTTAATCTATACAAGCTCAGGCTGGTACAAACTAGTTTATCTTTAAGGGCGTCCCAAGACTCCCTTTTTGTTTTGGCAGCCACAGATTTGATTACTCCCTTGGAACGTGAGCTGGCTCTAATTTTTTAACCATCTCAACATTACCATAGCAGAGAATTCCCTCCCGCTCCCCCCTCATGGCTCGGTGAAGAGACTACTGAGCTTCTTTGTAGGCAAAGCAGGGAATGCTGACTTGATTCATTAAGAAGCAGGAATTATACTTTCTGCTAGTAGGATAGATCCATAGAATCCCCAAAGAAAGGTGGACAAAACCTTGGATTCATACTGAGAGGTTAGTAGTATCTAGTAAACATGTTGAACTGTAACTTTGCTGTCTGAAAGGTTTTCTTACCCAACCCCCAACCCCCCAAAAAACAGGGCTAGTGGATCAAACATGTCAGTTTATTTTGTTTTTAACATGTTAAATGTAGTTTAGGTGGCAGCTGGCAGTAGCTGGGAGAGAAAGGGGTGAAGAATTGAAAGAACCAGGAAGCTGAATGTTAATGGAGAGAAAGTGAATGTCAAGAGAACTGGAAGCAAGCTGAACATGTCATCAGAATATAGAAAGTAGAAAGTAACGGATGGAAGAGCTCACTCTGCTACTGTATGGGTACTCAGGGGAAAAAGACCATAGGGTTAGGCTTGGGGTTAGGAACCGGATCAAACCTCCACCATTTCCCCCCTCCCTGGTTTGCAGGGGGATCAGGTAGAAGCCAGAGCTGCTAGGCTGGGCTTCAAGTCCTCTTCACCCAAAACAATTGCTCTGCCAATCTCCCAATCATAGTCGCGAGAAGGGATTTTTGATACCAATATTTTGTCAGAAAGGGTTTTCATTGCAATGAAACGAGTTCATTTTTAAATAAGGTGGAGCGATTAATTGTCACTGCATGAAGAAGTTCTGACAAACTAAATCTGAGGGTGGGGGGGATAAAAATTAAAGAATGACTTTTTTTTTGGAAAAGTCTCTTCTAGCAAGCCTCTTCTGATAGGAATTCAATTTGCTTTCTAAGTGACGGTTCGGGTTGCCAGCCTCTGGGGGCAGCCTGGAGAATGGAGATCTACAGGAATTACAAATGATCTCCACATTGCCCCGTCTCTAGCAAAGATTGGGGGTGGCAGAGAGGGAGTCACACCTGCAGAAGGCTTTGCAGCGATTTACAATGAGGGGTGGAGGCGGGGATGGATGAGACCACTGAACCAGTCCAGGGGTAAGCTGAGCAGAGGGGCTTCTGTAGTGCTGACTGTGCATCTGAATGGATCCAGCCAGCTGTGACAACCGTGATGGGTATCGGCTCACCCACCACCAATGTTCCCTCTAAGTTATGGAGCCCTGTGAGCAAAAATTCTACTTTGTGAGCGACAAGCCTTAAAGTTGTGAGCAGGTGATTTGGCTACTGCATAAATTAGTTTTATCTGGAGCTATCCTTCCTGAGCTAAGACAAAAATGAGTGAGTCAGAGGCTAAAAAACTGTGAGCTAGCTCACACTAACTCATCTTAGAGGGAACACTGCCCACCACCTTCTACTGAGCTCCTGTGGGCCAGGTCCAAGCCGAGTAGACTTGCAGTGCTGCCGGCGCTGGCTCCCGGTTGCTGTTTGTGTTTCATAAACTTTTCTGATAAGTGAAAGACCCAGTTCACCTCCAGACATGGGGCCTCTCTCCATTTGAAAAATGCCCCATGCTTTGCTGACCAGGAGAGAATACACTAGGGACACTATGACTGGGCATCCCAGCACGACTCCTGACGATGGCTCCATGCCTAGGGACCAGAACAGGGAGATGCCTGCTGGTGCCTGGTCCGAGTAATCTCTGGGATCAGGTCCAGTTGCCTTGAAGAAAGGAGCAAATGGGCCAGCAGAGCCCAGAAGGGAGGGTGTAGCTGTGTACCGACTGGTAAGGGCAAGGGAGGCTGGCCTGCGGGATGCCCAGTAGTGTGTAAGAGAATACCTTTGGGCTGAGGAGAGGTCTATGGGAAGATGGGGGGGAGGGGGGGGAGCAGGTCTGACATGTCCAGGACAGCACTTACTTGGGTAGGCTTTAGAAGAAGTGGAAGAGCACAGCCTGGGTCTAGATCAGGGTGAACAAGTGGAGACCCGCAAGAAAATTGCGGGATGGTTATCTCATTCGTCCCACCTTTGCTTCCTCTCCTCACCCCCTACCTCTCTCACACTATTTCTCCCCTCTGCCCCCCTTTTCTTACTCTCGATTTCTCCTCCATGCATGTGACTTCCTCTCTCTTTCTGACCGGTCATCTTTCTCTTTGTTTTTGTGCCTCCCCACTTCATCATTCTTTCTCTCTCTTTCTGCCCCCACCCCACCATTCTTTCTTTCTGCCCCCATCACTCTCCCAGCCTCCTGCCTGCTTCCTCCCCCACTCCGCAGAGCAGCAGCAGTAGTGGTGGTGGCAGTGCTCCTAGCCACCCACCTGCTTCCTCTCCCCCTACAGCAGCAGTGGCAGTGGTCTGGGAATCACAACGGATCTCCCAGCTACAGAGATCAATTGACCTTAGGGCTGCCAGCTCCAGGTTGGGAAATTTCTGGAGATTTGGGGGTGGAGCCTTGGGACAGTGAGGCAAGCAGCCTCAGCAGGGTATAATGCCATAGAGTCAACCTTCCAAGGCAGTCATTTTATCAGGGAAATTTATCCAGGGGATCTGATCTCTGTCGCCTGGACAACAGTTGTAATTCTGGGTGATCTCCAGTCCTCACCCGGAGGCTAGCAATGGTGGTTCTTGTGGATGAAATGGCTGGAGGGTGGAGTCTATGACATTACACCAGTCCAAAGCTCCTCCCCTCCTCAAATCCCACCCTCTCCAGCTCCACCCCTCAAATGTCCAGGATTTTCCCAACCTGGAGTTGCCAACCCTATTTCCTTCCCACCCAACAGCCAACCTACCTTTATATGCCTCTCCCCAAGCCTGTACCTAGAAAAATTATAGTCTTTCTCCACAGTGGGGACCAAAGCAGCTTTCATTATTCCCTCCTCCTTTTTATCTGCACAACAACCCTGTGAGGTTGGTTAGGCTGAAATATGTGACTGGTCCAAAATCACGCAGTCAGCTTCCACTGCAAGATGGGGATCTGAACCTGGGTCTTGCAGACCCTACTTTGAAGCTCTAACTGCTGCACCTCACTGGCTTTCATAGGGTGGCTGCTGATGAACGGTAGCAAGCAGCCGAGGCTAGGTGAGTCATGCAAATCAGGGGGGACCTGGCAACCCTAGACTACTGCCAGGCCTAGAATTGCCAACCTCCAAATGGGACTTGGAGACCCCCCACAACTGGACTCTAGACAGCAGAGGTCTGTCTCCCTGCAGAAAATGGCTGCTTTGGATGGGGGACTCTTTGGCATTATACCCAGCTGAGGCCTCTCCCTTCCCCAGATCCTGCCCTCCTTAGAGTCCACCACAAAATCTCTAGAAATCCCCCAGCCTGGCATTGGCAACTCTTGTGAGGCCTGGCCCCAATGCTCCCTTCCTCCCACCCTGAAAGGCCAAAAGAGGCCTGGAAAGGGCCATTCCCCCACCCTTTTACTGACAAAGCCAGTTAGAAGCC